AATTAGCCTCAAATTATGGCCAAAGAAAAAATTTTAAAATCTAAAGTGGTTCTGCTAGCTTAATGGAGTTGATTTTTTCAGGAAAATTGACATGGGAAATGGTCTGGTACTCTCATAAGGCGTTTTCGGAAACTTACTCTGGGTTGATAACTCGATCCAGATAGGTCACGAGCCAGAAAACTCGGATCATCTACTCGTGTTCAACGTTTACGAACGTGTCAGGTTAGGAACACTGAATATATATTTTTTTTGTGGTTTCATGAATTTGACAGACGAAAATGGTAACATTATATTCAATCAATTATTTGATCTGATTACATATATTTATATTTACTTGTGGATTGATGTACTTGTCTCATAATATGTGTTGTTGCACATAACCACAAACTTCACCCCTACCCAAATTCTTGTTTCAATGAATTACTTTAATCAAATTATGAAGATTGAAAATAACATGTATATCACCGGTCGGGATTTTTCCCAACATGCAAATTATTTTATTTTTATTGTTATCGTCGAATGTAAACTCCCGCGTTTTTTTATTGACCTAAATTCCGTAATGCGCATGCGGTGTCCTTTGCAACTCTGGCGACCCTGCTTTTGAGTAGGGTCACGAAAAATCAACCCGAGTCAGTGATCGAGTTAGCATCATTCAAGTTTCCGAACAGAGGTAGGTAACTCGGTTTGGGTAACCGAACGTTCAGGTTAGGGATCCGAACAACCCGAGTAAGTTTCCGAAAACGCCTATAGAATGTTTATTTTTGAAACTATTGGTGCTTATCGGTATATCACGTTATTGAGAGGTGATTATTTTCATCAATGAAAAAAAAATTGTGATGGTTTCAAATAATAATGAATGACTGTATCAATAGTTATTTGTTTTACTATGTAGCAAAGTCGAGAGCAAAGTACATTTGATGCCGCGTGAAACATATAATTTTTTCTCCAAATATTTTGAAACCAATTTCGTGAAATTATTTTATTGAAATCTCCATAATTTTACCTACCAATGTCATTCAAATTACTAGGATCGTTGCATAGCAACAAACTTTTCCTGCCTGGGCAGAGAAAGTACAACTTTCCTGCCTGTTGAGTGTCAGAAGAAAGCCTGGCATATATGCCGCTTGTAGAATAGTTATTTGTGTTACTTTAGGCAGAAAAGTAGAAAACCAGCCAAGATATTACATCTCTTTTTCTGCCATGTGAAACATATAGGTAATTTTTTCTTCAAATTCTTTTCAATTTCACGCAAAGTCCAAATAATCCATCATTATTTGTTCACCCAAAGTCATTGTCAATTTTGATTAGATACCAATTTGATTCAAATTACTTGGAACGTTTCATAGCAACAAACTTTTCCTGCCTAGGCAGTAAAAGTACATCTTTCCTGCTTGTTGAGTGTCAGAAGAAAGCCTGGCATATATGCCGTTTGTAGAATAGTTATTTGTTTTACTTTAGACAGAAAAGTAGGAAACCAGCCAAGATATTACATCTCTTTTTCTGTTCTGCCATGTGAAACATATAATTTTTTCTTCAAATTCTCTTCAATTTCACGCAAAGTCCAAATAATCCATCATTATTTGTTCACCCAAAGTCATTGTCAATTTTGATTAGATACCAATTTGATTCAAATTACTTGGAACGTTTCATAGCAACAAACTTTTTCTGCCTAGGCAGTAAAATTACACCATTTCTGCCTGTTGAGTTTCATGAAAAATCAACTTTTAATGTGATTTGGAGAAAAAGATACTATTGATACATGCACTACGCAGCATGGCATTCGACACATAGGCACGTGATAGGCACCCAGACTAATAGCCAAATAATAGACAATCCAACGATGCGGCAGCTGCCTTGTCAAGATCTAACACGAATGAATATCTATTTTTCTCTCTTATTCTCCAGCAGCTGCCGCCACCCAGCGGGATAAATCTCCTGCCAGGCCAACTAGTGATATAAGAATTAAGGTTAATAAATAATAAAATAACAACAAAAAATCATTTCAATAAGCTTTATTCCAATATATCCCAAAATTAGAAAAGTCATGGAAACCATCCATTCTCAAAGTGCTCCAGTATTTTTCAAAAGGAGAAAAAGAAACAAACTCGAAAGTCGGTCGTCCACAAAATTAAATAAGAAATATTCATGTGTGGGACTAGTTTCGGCACTATGGTCATCGTCAGACACAATAGTGATGAAGAAATACCTTTTTTTGAAGTAATAACTACATAGGTAACTAAAAACTTTTAAACTTTTTGATGGCTTGCCTCGGATGGAGATGAAGCTCTTTGAGTCGTGCGTGATATGCTTCTTACCACACTTGTTACATAATATACTATTTTGTAGCTACTGAACATTGTTCTCTCGCTTCAAAAAAATGTTAATTTCGTTACTCGTAATAGTTATTTATGTATCAAGGGCGTAAAGTAGGTTTTTGTCGAACTCCACCATGGGGATCTCATGCAGTTATTATAAAGAGATACGAGGTCGGTTAAATTAGGGCAAAGTTGCGCATTTTCATGCTGAACATTTATCTGGAAGAATATTTGATGTGTCATTTTTAGTTTTTGAATTATTGAAAGGAAACGAAAATTTATAATTTTGGTTTTCATTTTTTCAAGCGGAAACCAAAAGACCTAGACGTTTCTGACTGGGACATTCTTGAGGCACTTTTTCACAAAGAATCTGAATCTGTCATTGTATTTTCCATGCCATTCTTGATGCCAAAGTTACAACACACAACTTTGTTTTTTCTTGTGGGCGCCATATTGGATTTTTACATTTGTGAAAGCTGTTTTTCTAAATGCAATGATGTATCACACGATATGATCGAATCTTTCCTGTTGATCGAAATTGGGACAAAACCATTTTTGCAAAGAGTGCTTCGACTGTTTATTTGAATTTGGATCTGGAACGTTCACATTTTCGCCAAGCTCATCTACTTAAAAACTATTGTTTTGAATTAGGAACGACGTAATGAGCAAGAAGTTTATTCTTCGTAAAACAAAACAAAGTCTGAACACAATTCTACGCGTTCCCTCAGATTTTGAATTGCTCGCGAGATGTCCCGTCTTCTTATCTGAGTCCTAGAAGTGGTTATTATGGTTCTTTTCAGCTCATCAATATCGATCGGTACAGTTTTGAAAATCAAATCTTTCATAGTTCCCAATAAATAATTATCCAGCGGTGATAGATCAGGTGACCGCGGTGGCCAACGTATGTCTCGTTGTTGGAAATTAGGGTCCCTTGATGGAAATTGACATTAAAGTCATCTTAACAGGGTACGGACAGATCCTCGTCTCCTCTCACTCTAAAGCGTTTGTGAAACAGTTATATAGTTCCATCCTCATTCAATTCTGGGGATAAACACTAGATTTTTGACATTCGTTGTTTTTTAGGTTATATTGAGGTCACTGGCGTATCATACGTAATTTCCATATAAAATTCCTGATTCAACTATTCCAAGATATAGATGAACAATCCTCTTGTTTTAGAGTTTACTACTCCAGCATAATCTTTGCGAGGTATGGAACATATAAATTGTACTGAAAGCTTATAATGTATTTTACCAAAAGAGACTGTTCTTAGACTGTATACCAGGGTTGACTGAATTGACTGAATGAATTCTGAATTCAAGCTGAGCAGTAGTTTATCTATGAGCTGAATGAGCAGAGCCTCATGATTGAGAAATGGTGGAAACCTCGATGTAGGTATCTAAACTACTGTAGGTAGTCATGTGTACTAAATATATTTTCGGAAATCCAACTCGGAGAAGAATTTATGGAGTTACTAATATCACACTATGTATAAAACTTCGTCTAGGACGAAAAGTAGGCTGATGAAAAGAAATACGTAAAATATGAAGGAAAATAAAGAATAGAATATACTTCACCTGATTTTTCTGTCATCCTTGAATAAAGTCATTTTCGAATAATTTATTGATGGAAGTAACAAAAAAGTAGGTTTGCGCAGTATAACTTATTATAGGCACGCTATTTTCACTCTTGCATCCTACATATTTTTTATGTGTGGTAGAGTAATAATTATACAAACTAATGTCTTTAGCCATATTGGATCTGTCATCTTGAATTTTCCAATTTTTACCATACAATCATTATCTCCTACCCCGAATACCCCCAGATACCAATTTTAAATAGAATCGTACCTTCATTACAAAACTCGTCCACCATATTGGATCAGTCATCTTGAATATATCACTTCTGACGAAATAATTATAATCTCCGACCCCGGAAATCCCCAGATACCAATTTTGATTTTTATTGCATCCGCTATCTAGAATTTCCCAATCTTGACAAAAAATCATAAAGTTCAACCCCGAAAACCCCCAGATATTAATCTTAAATATAATCAGATCATAGTCGCTATATATTGGATCCGTCATCTTGAATTTTCCAAGTTTGACGAAACAATCATTATCTCCAACCCCGGAAAACTCCAGATCTTCTAATCTTGTAATCTTGAATAGAATCGGATCATGATTACAAAACTAGTTCGCAATATAATCTTCCTCAACGAGTAAATACCCTGCTGTACATAGCTATTATTAAAATTTAGAATGATTTTCTGTAGCGCCCATGGATGTGACGTGACAGCAATGTCAGGGATGCCAGTAGACAAAACTAAAGTCTCTAGATCATTAAAAAAGAATGCAGCTATGATCTGTCCGTACCCTGTTAGATGACTTTAACGTCAATTTCCATCAAGGGACCCTATTGGAAATTACCTTGTCATCAACAGTGTATATATTATATATGTGATATATATCCGGGAAAAAAGTAATTCATGAGAAGTGACATTTTATAACCTGCCAACAGAGATGAAATGCCAAACTTTTTTCCCGTCACAGAAAAATATAATATTATTTTCCCTTTCTTTTTTTCAGCAGCTGCCTCCACCCAGCGGGAGGATTCTCCTGCCAGGCCGGGCCTACTTGTGATATTAGAAATTAAGACCCCCCACCCCCACCCCCTCCGGTTGACATGCCCGTCAAGACCGAGCCCAAGATGAACCTGATCGACTACCTCATGATCGATCCGATCACAGAACCCCTGCTTCCCGACGATATATGGAAGAAGTTCGAGCTGGACTTCCCCGAGATCAGCGGCGGGATAGACGATGTGTTCGAAGAGACTACGGTGTCCGTTAAGTCGGAAATACCTTACCTGGACGACCTGTGCGAGATAAGGTAAATGTCCCAGCTATCGACATATGAAGAGTCATTTGCCTGGTTGGTGATGCCACAATCACGTAACACTTTGACCTCAAGAAGACCATAGAAAAGTCGGCGACCTCTCACTTCTCTATTGATACTTCCACGGGTAATGTTCCTCCGAAATATCTGCTATAATAGAGAGTTGAAGTGTTGCCACGAACGTTAACGTTAACGTAGAAATTGACAGCTACGCATGCGCATTTTTCAATTCTTCACGTTCGCGTTGGTTGTGGGCTTACGGGTGTACGTTATCTCACGTACTTTCACGTATACCTTAAATATCAACGTACGTTAACCGAACCAAACTCGAAATATGCCGATGAGTCGAAATCATCAAATTCGGGATCCTTAAGGAGTTCTGCATCGCAGGCAACCTTCCATTTTAACACGAATAAATGTTTCGATCTAAACAAACAACCAAAACTGACCAATACAAACCGATAACATAATTTGTTATAACGTTACGATGACAGTGACGACTTCAACTCAATTTGAAGACAATACGTAAACGTTATTTTTCGTACTTTAACGTTTACGTGGAGGTCTACGTACAGTGATTACTTCAACTCTCTAATTACATCACTATAGCAATACCAGTCAGACGAACTCGACAGGCCCAGTTACCACACCGTTTTGTCTTTAACCTTGAAATATAAAAAGAGGCTGCAGTAGCAGTGTTTCTTGACCTTTCTAAGGCTTTTGACTATGCTATAAGTCATGATATTCTGTTGCAAAAGCTTTTTCATGACGGTATTCGTGGTGCACCTTTAGACTGGTTCAGATCTTATCTCAGTGACAGGAATCGAAGAGAATCATTGTCAAAAAAGACTTCCGATAAAGCTCATATTTTACGGGGGGTCCCTCAGGGGTCAGTTCTAGGCCCAATTCCCTTCTTGATTTATATCAACGATATGGTTAGTCTAGATATTTCTGGGCACCTAACTTTATTTGCATATGATACCACGATTCTCTGGCATAACGAAGATCGAACAAATTAATCTCGAATTATGTCCCCCTAGAAATTGACTTTGACTTGTTTTTCATTCGATCTTGTCTTCAAACGTGTTCAGGTTGGATCGTCTTGAATGGGAGACCGGCATACACATTCTAGTCCTAGATTCGAAGGATAATCAAGTTGCATATTATTCCGCAAACATTTTTAAAATATTGCAAATAATGACCTCGGTGATCACCAAAGGTGGCTTCCCAATGTAGCGTTTTTGCTTTACGCGTCGCGCTTCATGCAACCTGATGGGTGACGCTGAATTTGAAAAATATTTGACGCGATGAAGTTGACATATTCAAACTTTTTGGCGTTGCTGCTTTGTGTTGCGATGAGGATATGTTCCTCATTGAACCCTTATTTCAGAAAGTGACCTCATTATAAGTAAATCATTGCAGTATCCCAAAAGTAGGTACCTACCTGATTATCTCATTTTCACTATGCTATTTTCGTTTTTTGATGAATTACTTATCTGATGCAGCTCTGTATATCTTGCAAGCATTATCCGATATTTTCAGTATTCTCAGATATTCTCTCAAGGATAGGTTATTTAATTGGGAACTGAAGTAAATAACCTAAAAACAGTGCAGCAATTCTCATTTACGCGTCACCAATCATAGTGCGTGACGCGAAAAGCAAAAAAGCTGCATTGGGAACTCACTTTAAGACGTTACCAAAATGACACATAAGATAAACATTCCGATTCATTAGAAACATGCAATAAATCTATAAAGAATATCAATTCTCTGGCAATGATTCCGCTGAGTTATCCCCACCATTCGCGATTTCATTCATCTATCCGTGGAGTTTATCCCCACCATTCGCGATTTCATTAATCTATCCGTGTTTGGGCGTTACCACCGACACAACAAGGCCAGCAGACTCTGACGTAAACAGCTCGTGACGTCACCAAGAGAGGCCAGTGTTTCATTTTATCGCTTGTCGACTAACGCGTCAGTTCGTGTTAATTCATCGGTGATTCACGTATGTTTTTGAAACGGTCCCGAATTCTTTTGTTGTTTATTCATCAAAATAATTGGCGGAAAAATTACTGTTTTGTGAAATATTTTGTGTTGTGATCGGAGAAATAACAATGCCTTTCAAGTGTTGTGTTCCCTTTTGTCGGGGGAATTATGTGGGTGGTTCAAAAGTTCATGCTTTTAGTTTCCCGTTGGACGAGGAGCTATCGAAAATGTGGGTATATGCAATTCACCGCGAGGATTTTACTCCATCTAAGTTCAGTAGTAAACAGAGCTTAATATATAATGATGAATTAATAATAGAAGACAATTACTCTCTCATAAAAAGTATAAGTAGAGGAAAAATAGAAAAGCTTTGATTGTGCAGTTAGTTTTGTATTCGTATATTATAGTCAACAAAATCATCTCTGAATTCGAGGAAATTTTCTTGAATGTTCATAATAAACGGGCATTTTTAATTCTCATTCTCAAATTTCTTTCTGAAAACGGTCATTTGCCTCGTGGCAATGAATGCAGAATTCATTCCAATGATCAAATTGCAACTATCATATTAACATGAACTACAAACACTCGACTCAAAAAGGTGAAACTGCATTTATCATGAAGATGTTTGACTAAAATGTTCCAAATTTCACCTTCTTTTTCACCTGTCTTCTGGATGGCATTTAGAACAAATTTCCCTTATTTTTTCATCAACAACTATAAATATGATTTTCTTGAGATTAATCCATATTTAGTGAAAAGAAGGAAGAATATCATTCAAAATAATGGCGTGTGTAATGTCATTCGAAAGCAATCTATTGAAATTTGACATCTCGTATTTTGATTGACTATTGATCAAATGGTCGTCATCTGGAATGCTTGTTCAGTAAATATGAAAAACTCGCCATGAAAATCATATTTCCTGTTGAATTTTCTATATAAAAATGTGCCATCGGAGTACATCATGAGTATATAAAGTGTCCAATGACAAAATAAGAGCAAGTAGCTTCAAATGCCCCCAACACAAGGGGAGGAAGAAGGCGAAATTTCGAACTTTTTCTTGAAATATCTCAATAAATAGTGGTTTCACATTTTCATCATAAAATTCGGTTTATCAGACAAAAATACGTGAGTACCAAAAAAAATTTCAAAAAAAAAAACATCGCATGATAAATGCAGTTTTACCCTTAAAAATTACGGTTTCAAGTGTAACGATCCACTTGGGTGGAAAATCCAACAACAGAAAATTGAAAACACTCACTGGTAATTTTTTCAGATAATAGGAATTCTCCAAGATAAATATAGGTAATTGTAACAAACGGCTTGTCAATCGAAATAAAATACATTTTCCACAATTTTCTTTCGATCAATCTCACGATAAGTTTATGTTCTGCGGGCCCTGTATAAGTAGGTGTGAAGTTTACCTTCACCACAATTTTTGCCAATATATTTAATTCGAATGGGTTGCTGTAGGTGGATATTTGTGTTTTATCCTTGTTTTTGCTTTAAAACTTCGTTTTTCCATAATAAAATCGAATGAGGTGCGAAACAAAAAACAGCAAAATCGGCTCAATGATGATCTAAAACTAAAATCGAAATACGCGGTCGCCTTATAGCGCTATAAGCGCTTGTCGTTTCGAGCCGCTGGTTAGGCCTCACTAAGTGACGTCACCCACGGAGCATGCAGGCCTTGTTGTATCGGTGGTAACGGTTTGGGGCGTTTTGGATTGTTGACGTATACTTTTCGATGATTCATGAATGCATCGCGGTGTCTATCCTATCTACCGTTATTCAGTCTGAGATCGGGACTTTCTTACCTTGCTCAAGGAACCACGACTGCATGTGGGCGGGCCATTGCGGCAGCAAAGAGCACCCGAGCGACGAGAGCCACGCCCACTGCCTGATGCGGCCGCCCGCCGTGCCGGTCAAGGTCGAGGTGGTGTGCCCGCCGCCGCCCCCGCAACAGAGCCTGCTCAAGCCCGCCGTGAGGGCGGCCAACGCGGCGCTGCCCCAAACGCCGCCCATGTCCGATGACGAGGAGGTGAGGAATGCGCCCTGCGACGGCCGAAAACTCGTACAGGGTGTCCAGGTTGCGATTTTACTAAATATACTGCACGCTAGCACAAACCACGCCCACCATAATACGTCATATCTCCAAACATTACCGATATACTCGGAGTCAGCACATCGCACTAAATATACTGTGCTCCAACGCAAGAATACACTTTTTATGATTTTGACACGAATTCGACTGAAGCTCTCTCGTTGTCAATCTCTTGTACGCAGTAATTTCATACACCCAAATGGGTCTACTGGTTAGCGCTGTCGACTCTCAGTCTGAAGGTCCATGGTTCGAATCGCTGTGAACTTAAACTTCTTTTTGCAACTTTTTTTTTCACCAATGTTTTTTTACTTCATTCTGGTTTTCCTTTTTCATAAAATATTTGAAGTCAAATAGATTGGTGCGTTTAGGATAAACAGTCTCATTTTATTCAATTTTGTTGAAGAACTCAACTTTTGAAATATATTATTAATCAATGTGTTTCTACACTCCATTCGGTTTTCCTTCCTCAAAAATATTGCAATCAGGGATAGGTTAGTTCGTTAAGGATAAATAGTTTCTGAGTTTTGCCTAAGTACTTCGAAGATGAGATATTAAGGTGGGCGTGGTTTGTGCTAGCGTACAGTATATTTAGTAAAATCGCGTCCAGGTTTCGATGCTTTGGCATCTTTTGTGCGGTTTTCACATTGCTGCCTTACTTTTTTGTGAAACGAAAGATATCTCACAAAAAAGGGCAAAAGCATCGAAAACTGGGCACACTATACATTCATTGACTTTGTTGAAAAATATACAGGGTGATTCAATCTTCCCGCCCTTGGCTCATTACAGAAAAAGGAAAAATTCAAATGCATGGGAATTTGAATGGCTGTGCTCGCAGCTGTGTGTATATTTTTTCGTATATAAACATTTTTCAACCTTCTTTTTTAAAATAGCGGGAATGGCGTCAGAATTTTTTTCCCGTGTTTAATACACTATTTTTTTCCGTGACAGAAGAAAGGACGAATCAATATTGAGAAGATATTACATTATTTTGAGAAAATTATCGACGTGAAATTTCAAGTTTTTAACAGTAGGGACACCTGCGTCGTAGGCATCTTTATCATTCTTTTGAAGTAATCAGATATCTGATGTCACTTCTGTCAGTCTAATTCTTTGATTTGATTTAAAAAAATTGCGGATTTAGTGGTTGTTCAGTGATATACGTAACCGAGAAGTCAAATGGAAGATAAAAGGACTTGCAGTTCTTTCTATTGACTCATTTTTCGGAACTATAGCACAACAAAATCCATCAACAGTGTGTATACAGTGTGTCCCACTTACCATGCTCACCATGGGTATCTTTTTAACGGTGAGAGATACGAGGTCGGTTAAATGACACCAAATGTGGAGTTTGTCAAGGCCAACTTTAATGTGAAAAAAATATTTTTGATAAAATCTATTCGTTTTTGTTTTATACGCAAAAAATAGAATTTGATAATTTTCATGTCTCCTCCGTAACTTCTTTATTTATGAAAATATTCAAATAGGAATTTCATATTCTCATGGCAGTTTTTCAAAGTGATTTTGAAAATAATATGAAATTTATACCAACTCTTCTAGAATTTGAGATATCAGCACCAACTTCAGTTTTTCAAATGTATGTCATAGCTCACTATGACTTAGTTACAAATAACTTTTTTTCCTCTTTCAGATGATGTGTTGCAGTAATAGTTTTGTGTTGATAACAACGGAGTTATCGTCATTTATACAAAAACAAAAAATTATTTGGAAGCCGCCATCTTGAATTTATAAATTTAAACAAGAAAATCATGATCTCCGACCTCAAAAACCCCCACTTACCAATTTTGAATGGAATCGGACCAAATCTTGTCCGCCATCTTGGAGCAGCCTTTTTTTTTATTTCAACAAAAATTCCATAATGTATTGTCACCGAAATTATGAACACCTGCCTGAATTTCAAGTTAATCGGAGTTATGGAATTTTTGTTGAAATTAAAAAAAAATGGCTGCTCCAAGATGGCGGACGAGATTTGGTCCGATTCCATTCAAAATTGGTAAGTGGGGGTTTTTGAGGTCGGAGATCATGATTTTCTTGTTAAAATTTATAAATTCAAGATGGCGGCTCCCAAATAATTTTTTGTTTTTGTATAAATGACGATAACTCCGTTGTTATCAACACAAAACTATTACTGCAACACATCATCTGAAAGAGGAAAAAAGTTATTTGTAACTAAGTCATAGTGAGCTATGACCTACATTTGAAAATATCTCAAATTCTAGAAGTTGGTATAAATTTCATATTTTTTTCGAAATCACTTCGGAAAACTGCCAGAGAATGTGAAATTCCTATTTGAATATTTTCATAAATAAAGAAGTTACGGAGGAGACATGAAAATGATCAAAATCTGTTTTTTGCGTATAAAACAAAAACGAATAGATTTTATCAAAATATTTTTTCACATCATAGTTGGCCTTGCCAAACTTCACATTTGGTGTCATTCAACCGACCTCGTATCTCTCACCGTTAAAAAGATACCCATGATGAGCATGGTAAGTGGGACACACTGTATGTGATATATATATATATATCCGGGAAGATAGTACTCACTTTTTTCCCACGGAAAAAAAGTAATTTATGAAAAGTGACATTTTATAACCTGCCAACAGAGATGAAATGCCAAACTCTTTTCCCGTCACAGAAAAATAACTCACACACAGCTATTGAAATCCCGCTCTGCCGAATTTTCATTTCCTGTTATAAGTCAAGGCCGTGAATTTTGAATCACCCTGTACCAATCCCGCCCGACCTCTTTGCCCCTCAGTGCAAACGATCCTCGACCAGCGTCCTCAAACTCCTCCACGACGCCATCGAAGACTGCGACCTGGACGAAGATAGCGACCTTTGCGACTACTTCGAGGACAAGGAGGAGGTGAACGTGGAGGACGACTTGGAGGAGGAGGAGGAGGAGCAGGAGAGGGCGAGGTCGAACATCATCAAATCGTACCAGTTCGCCGCCGAGAGCGATCACAGCTATCACAAGGGCAAGGCGGCTGCGACGCACGTCCTCGGTATAGAGACGCCTTCCGATTCCGGTGAGTCGTTGATTGTTGGTTGTTTGTTTGTTTTTTTTGTGGTTTTATGTTGGGTTCGTTGGATAACGCGAAAAAATGTTAGTCCAAAAAAATCTGCGAATACAATGATTGATAGTCCAATGGTTCTAGAAAAGCAATCAATTCTAGGATGACAATAATTGATTGTCCAATTAATTCTAGAAAATCAATCAATTAAATCTAGGAAGACAGTAATTACCAGTCCAATTAATTCTAGAAAATAAATCAATTAATTCTAGGAAGACATCAATTGATAGTCCAATTAATTCTAGAAAATAAATCAATTCTAGGATGACAGTTATTAATAGTTCAATTGATTCTAGAAAATAAATCAGTTAATTTTAGGAATACATTAATTGATAGTCCAATTAATTCTAGAAACTCATTCAATTCTAGGAAAACAGTAATTGAAAGTCCAATTAATTATAGAAAATTCATCAATCAATTCTAGTAAGACATTAATTGATAGTCCAATTAATTCTAGAAAATCAATCAATATAGGAAGACAATAAGTGATGGTCCAATTAATTCTAGAAAGTAAATCAATTAATTCTAGGGCACCAATAATTAATTCTAGGAAGACAGTAATTGATAGTCCTATTAATTCCAGAAAATCTATTAATAAATTATAGGAAGATAATAATCGATAGTCCAATTAATTCTAGAAAATGAATAAATTCTTGGAAGTCAATAATTGATAGTCCAAATAATTCTAGAAAATCAATCAATTCTAGGATGACAATAATTGATAGTCCAAATAATTCTAGAAAATCAATCAATTCTAGGATGACAATAATTGATAGTCCAAATAATTCTATAAAATCAATCAATTCTAGGATGACAATAATTGATAGTCAAATTATTTCTAGGAATTCAATTAATAGTCCAATATATTCTAAGAGGATAATTGGTAGTACAACTTGTTGTTCAATAAATTACACAGTCAATTCTAGGATGACATTAATTGATAGTCCAAATAATTCTAGAAAATCAATCAATTCTAGAATGACAATATTTGATATTCAAATCATTTCTAGAAATTTTATAGTCCAATATATTCTAAGAGTATAATAATTGGTATGACAACTGGTTGTTCAATAAATTGTACAAAGTCAATTGATAGTCCAACACATTTTAAGAAGTCATTTGAGGTTCTACAAATCCTAAGAAGTCAATTGCTAGTTAATTAGATTGTTATGAAATAAATGTGTACCCCAGCCAATTCTCTATGAAGTCGATAATTGAAGTACTATAAACCCTATTAAGTCAATAGTAGTCCAATAAATTCAATGGAACCAATTGGTAGTCCATCAAATTCAACGTGTGATATAGTTCAATGAATTCTAGGACATCGATAAATAGACAAATGAATTCTGCAAAGTCGATAAATAATCCACTATACTCTATTAAGACAATAATTGGTAGTTGAACAAATTCTAGGAAGTAATTTGAAGTATTATAAATCTCACATAGATAATTGGTAGTCCAATTAATTGATATAAAATCAATTAGTAGTTCAACAAATACTACAAAATCAATAGTAAATTATTTCATTGTACGATATTGTATGAGGACAATAATTGGTAGTCCAAACGAGAGTCCAAATCATTCTAGGAAGTCGATGAAGAGTCCAATTAATTCTACAGGTCAATTGGCCAATAAATTGTTCGACGATTCATGCTACAAACGTAATTAACAGTACACAAGTTCTACGAAATCAATATTTGAAAGTACAATAATTTCTAGGATTTTTCAATTGAAATCCTGCGAAGTCAGTTGAAAACCCAATAAATTCTACGTAGTCGATTGTGGCAGTCCAATAACTTCATGGAATATCAAGAATTCGTCAACTATTATGTAATACCAGAAAATCTTTTGGTACTGAAAAACTATTAGATAATAAGAGGTCTTTGGGTAACGTCATTTGGTGATCCGGAGATTATCATGATCCTTAAGATCGTGGGAAATCATTTGGTGGTCTAATAACTACAAAACAACAAATCAAAAATTCAGAAGGCACTGTCAAGAAATAGACCATGAGCTCATGGAAATCTTGAAAAATAATTAGACAGTATCCACTATGAAAACTATGTGGTCAGAAGGATTTCCGAGTTAAAAATCTACGGCTATGTATGGCTCGTGACCCTCATTAAAAATTGACGTGCACCTGCCCTTGGTAGGTATTATAATAATTTACTCTTCCACAAGCTGCTGAGATGAAAGCAGGTGCTGTCTAGGTGTATCTGATTTCAGCGTTACTACACAAAAAAAAATCTTGGCTTTCAGAAAGCTCTGATGCATACGGGACGATACAGGGTGATCATCAACCTATAACCAAAAATGTCTACAAATAATTTATGAATGAAAATATTCAGAGTGAATTCACTGGGAAGTGTCTTGTTCTCTGATGGATAATTTCAAAACAATCAGAAGATTTATTATTATTATATTATCTGATTTTAGCGTTACTTCACAAAAAATCATGGTTTTCAGAAAGCTCTGATGCATACGGGACGATACAGGGTGATCATCAACCTATAACCAAAATTTTCTACAAATAATGTATGAATGAAAATATTCAAAGTTCACTGAGAAGTTTCTTGTTCTCTGACGGATGATTTCAAAACAAGCAGAAGATTTATTATTATTATATTATTTATATTATGTGATTTCAGCGTTACTTCACAAAAAAAATCATAGTTTTTAGAAAACTCTGATGCATACGGGACCGATACAAGATGATTATCAACCTATAACCAAAAATGTCTACAAATAATTTATGAATGAAAATATTCGAAGTGAATTAACTGATGAACAATTTCAAAATAATCAGAAGATGATTAAATGACATTCTACTGCAACCGACACAGAGTCGTCCATATTAATTCCAAAATTAGCTCTCGAATTGACGTTTCTATTATTGACACAAAATTCGGTATGTTGCTGGGCAATACCTGTGGCAATACATTTAGTTCCGAGGAACTAAAGTTGAACTTTTTCTCCTAGGAACTAAAGTTGAACTTAAGCTCATAGGCACTAAAGTTGAACTTTAGCTCATAGGAACTAAAAAGGATGTACTAGAGGTCATGAAGAATAAACAACATTGTTAAGGTTGGTTATTTGAGTTGGGACGCATACCTGATTTGTTTCCAATTTCGGCAGATTTGGCATTTTATACCCATGCTGCAGATATAAATACACCTTATTATAGTTAAATATTTTTGTTTTGATCAGGGAAGCCTTCAAGATTCGAATACTTGCTTTTTCATTTGTTATTCTCGGGATGGATTACTTGTTTTTGAATAATCACGGCAAGCAATAGTTTTTTGTCTCAAACAACGATATTGTTTACCTTTATTCGATTCTCGAGCCAAACACAGTGGAATATACTGAGAAATAAATAATCGCTAGTATTATTGTTGATATGCTCAATAACCTAACATTTTCCACGTCTTTTTTCTATACCTGACACTGGCGTGGTATTCGCTATTAGAGCACCTGGTCCATACTCAAATATGTCACTCTGTGGTTGTATTTATATTGAAACTACAATTCGAACATCTTTGAAAATTGAATAAACCTGCTGTTAATGCAGGTATAATATTCTCACCACACGGATTATCTGTTGCATTGCATACATATGGCATATGGCACGGCATTGGTGGTTACTTCACATATTTATTTGAGTCAATTGTTTCGGTTGCAGAAAAAATAGCATGTTTCATTTGGATCAAAAGTGACTTTGTTTGACTCGCAAATTTTCCTTTCGCTCGGCTTCGCTAAACGCTTCGGCTCGCAAATGGAAAATTCGCTTTTCAAACAAAGTGTCACTTTTGATTCTAATAAAACAATCTACTATTTGTACAAATCAATATTATTGATGAAAAAAGCTCGAAAAAAAAACAGTTGGTTTAATTCCAGTACAAGAAAGTATAGCAGTAGGCACATTTTTTCTTGCCTCAAAATTTTTTTATCGACTGTTTGAGTAGGTAGACAGTAACATTATTATTTATCTTTCCTTGGCAAATATGAATGTTTAAAAAAAAAAAACATGAGATAACATGCACATCGAATGAAGCATTCGGGTAATTCGGAATATTCCCATGGACTTTTGCGTGCATTCACATTACATGATAGTTGTATTTGATAATTTCTAATCACAAGCGTTAGCAGCGATAACCTTTGTCACTTTTTGCCTAAGAATATGTGAAAAAGTGTGATTACATTGAGATTATTTTTGTGGACATTCGGAAAGTGCTGAAATTATTTTTTTAAATTTTATTATAGCTGTGATTGCCAACGGCCTTCGTTCGTAATCTTTTAATTCACCGTTTGAATCCAAATGAACTTGAGGATTTAAATGTCGAAAAGGTCGAGGAAAAGTTTTGTCAGCTAGAATAGCGAGTTGGTTTTTCCTTAGATTTTTCACACAGTCTACAGGGTGATTCACGGTGGATGGCACATTAGACGTTTCTGGAGAACGCAACTCAGGATTTTTCTGAAAAGTTGGTGCCTTGGATAATTAGTTGTGTTCTATCGATCTAAAATATTCTCAGCGCTGCAACGTTGCCGCTTATATTGAAAAGTAGCAACAACTATGATTTTTTCAATGGAACACCCTGTATATCATTCCATTTTCAGACTCTTCCTGAAGAGCTGATTCCATCGATCTATCACACTTGTGGTCTAGCGGGAATGATAACAAAGATATAGGGTGTGAAAAATCGAAATTTTTCAATTTTAAGAATTTTTTGAGTCGAAACTGTTCATAATAAAATTGATCAAAACGGTTTTCATGTCCCCATCTTAACTTTCCATGCACTATCAATTGATATTTAATTGAAATAAATACAAGGTGGTTCATAATTAAGATTTTTGACCACCCTGTATCTATTTCAATTAAATATCAATTGATAGTACTAGAAGAGTTAAGATAGGGGATGGAAACCGTTTTGATGAATTATAAATAGTTTCGACACAATAAATTTTTAAAGTTGAAAAATTTCGATTTTTCACACCATATATCTTTGTTATCATTCCCGCTAGATCCCAAGTGTGATAGATCGATGGAATCAACTCTTCAGGGAGAATCTGAAAATGGAATTATATACAGGGTGATCTATTGAAAAAAATC